TAATTTTGTACACGTAATTTTCATGTAATTTTTTATATTATTTATATAACAAATAATCAGCAATTTCCGTTAATTAACCTGCCATGTCAGCCAAATATTAACGGAAGGACCAAAAAGGGGCCGAATTTGTGAACAGTAAGGACCAAAAAGGGAATTTTCTCGGTATAGGGACCAAAAAAGGGCTTTTTCCTATAGTAGAGGGACCAAAAAGGGTATTTAACCTTCCATTTAATGACTTTTCTATTACAATTTAATGTAATTTAGATTGTAAAATAAAGTTCTCCTTAATTATTGTTAATATAAATTATAAAATTTTTATTTAAAATTTATATTTAACAAACAAAAAAATCATTAAAATTATTAAAAATAAATTGAAGGAGTATTATATAAAAATATTAAACTAATTATGTACAAAAATAAAATTAATATAACTAAAACAGACTTTAAAAGAAGTACATTTTTACGGGTGGGTATATGTATTTTTTCTTTCTGATAATTATTTTATTAAACATTATGGGAACTTGAGAACTCTACCTCATATCCTAGGGATTCGAAAAATAAAACATCTCAATTCAGTAACTTGAAACGTATTGCAGCCTGACATTGTATGTTACCTTAAAAAAAATAATTAATTAAAAAAATGAAAAAAACCAACAGGTCCGTTGAAACAATTTATCAAATTTTTGGAGTACAAACCATCTGCAACCCAGAGTGGAAGACAAAACCATTTTATTACCTCAGATATTAACAATTAACTAACAAATCAATAACACTACAATGTTGGCTAAAAGAATAGCACTACAATCAATCACTCATTAAATTAAATTATTAATCATAACAATTTTATAAGAAAATTAGAATACAACAGCGCACAGCATATTACTATGTAATACTAAATTTAAACTTAAAATCTCTAAATATTGATAATATATATTCTTATCTTCGAAGGTTTATTGGCCCGAACAAATTCCATTTAATAATGGTGGCAAAAGACGATGGTTTAGACTTGAGAGTGGAGCCTGCACATGTTATGGTTATAGCAGCAGATGGCGTGAAAAGGAGCTGTGGGGTAGATTTTCAAAAAGGCAATACAATTTTGAATCTCCTGCGCTCCTAAACCTTCATTCGCCATTTGAGTTCCCGTGATCCATCAAACGGTCACAAACTCAACAATTCTCCATGTGAAAGTCTTTAAACAGTAAAATTAGTAAAAAAAAAAAAAAAATTTTCATTTTTCCTCACTATAAATCGGGCCAGACATTCTTTCAGGAATTTGCAGATCTCGAATTAGAATTCACGTTCACTCTTTCTTTGAATCTTCTTTTTTAAATTTCTTTACCTTTCTTTTTCATCATTATGCCTTCCTTTCCAAGTGAAGGAATGGAATGAAGCCGGTTTGCTTCGCAATTTTTTTTTTTACCCTTTTCATGATAGCATATAATTCTTCTCTCATTCAAAGTTTCCACCTTGCCAGACTCCAATTGCAGAGAATTCATATATATTTTTACTTCAATTTCTCTCATCTGAGTTCAAGACCCACTTCCAAAAATGCAGCTTCTGAGGTGGGTTTTTTGGGTCTTGCTTGTTTTTACCATTCTTGGGGGGGTTTTAGTGTCAGCAGTTGAAACAATCTCACAGCAGGCTCCTGGAGTTTGTTCAGAAGAAGATAGGACTGCTCTTCTTGGATTCAAAGCCAAAATCCTCAAGGATACTACAGATATTCTTGCTTCATGGGTGGGGAGGGACTGCTGTGGAGGGGATTGGGATGGGGTTCAGTGTAATTCAGCAGGGAGGGTTACTGGGTTGGCTTTGCAGAGACCAGGAAGGGACAGTTCCCTCTACATGAACGGCACTCTGTCTCCTTCGCTTGGCGGATTGCGTTTCTTGGAGGTATTGGTGATAAGTGGGATGAAGTTAATCAGAGGTCCGATTCCTGAGAGCCTCTCCAATCTAACCCATCTCACTCAGTTGGTTTTGGAGGACAATTCTCTTGAAGGGACTATCCCTTCCGGTTTAGGGCATCTGTCTTTGCTCCAGACCCTCTCCGTGGCAGGCAACCATTTGAGAGGGCAAATCCCTCCAACCCTTGGGAATTTGAGAAGCCTTCTTCTCCTTGGCTTATCTAGAAACTCCCTCACAGGTCCAATCCCACCCACTTTCAAAAGTCTCCTTCATTTGCAAACTCTTGATCTTGGCTTCAATTCATTTTCTGGTTGTATCCCGGATTTCATTGGCCAGTTTCACAACATTACATTTATAGACCTTTCCAATAACCAATTTTCAGGGCATTTACCCAATTCCATGTTCGATTTGGGCAGTCTTTCGGACTTGTCTTTGAGCCAAAACCAACTCACGGGAATAATCCCAGATCAGGTTGGGAACCTTAAATCCCTCACTGCTCTTTCATTGAGTGGAAATAGGCTTACAGGTAAAATTCCAGCATCCATTTCTAGATTACAGAACCTTTGGTCCCTTAATTTGTCCAGAAATGGATTCTCAGATCCTTTACCAGTTTTTTCTGGTAAAGGTCTTCCTTCTCTTTTGTCAATAGACCTTTCTTACAGCAACCTCAGTCTAGGGACAGTTCCTGATTGGATCAAGGACAGGCAGCTTTCAGATGTTCATCTAGCTGGATGTAAACTCAGAGGAATCCTTCCAAAGTTTACAAGACCAGATTCCTTGAGCTCTATAGACCTGTCCAATAACTTCCTCACAGATGGCATTTCAACTTTCTTCACAAACATGTCAACTTTGCAGAAGCTCAAGCTTTCAGACAACCAGCTGAAGTTCGATCTTATAGATTTCAAAGTGCCGGAGGGGATTTCTTCCATTGATCTGCATTCAAATCAGATAGTGGGGTCTCTCTCCAGCATTTTGAATAACAGAACAAGCAGCTTTTTGGAGGTTTTGGATGTATCAAGCAATCAAATTTCGGGCAGGGTACCAGAATTCACAGAAGGGTTGAGCTTGAAGGTGCTGAATATAGGAAGCAACAGGATTGCAGGCCAAATCCCCAGTTCAATCTCCAACCTTATTGAACTTGAGAGGCTGGATATTTCAAGGAATCAGATAGCAGGCACAATTCCAACAAGTTTAGGGCTGTTGGTGAACCTTCAATGGCTTGACCTTTCCATCAACAGGCTCACAGGAAAAATCCCAAGTAGTTTGTTGAGCATTCGAGCTTTGAAACATGCCAGTTTCAGGGCAAACAGATTATGTGGAGAAATCCCTCAGGGGAGACCTTATAATATCTTCCCTGCTGTTGCTTATGCTCATAATCTCTGTTTGTGTGGGAAACCACTGCCACCTTGTAGAGGAAAAAAACAAGAAGAGATGATTCAGTGAGATGCTGACTCAATATAGCCCCATTAGACATATGCTCAAGGTCATATGAGCACCATCAAATGCCGTAGGAGGAGATAGAATATGTTCTTCATAGTCCATTTCTATTTTTTACTACTCAGATATAATGCCTAGCTCAATTTCATAAATAAATTTGATTACAGAGAAAACATTGTTTGAAAATAGAAAATTGAAGAACATAAATCATGGATTCACTGATATGTTGCATAAAGATAACATGAGACAGAAGTAACCTGCTACTACAAGTTTGTCCTTAAAAATGCAGACATAAAAAATAAGGGCCACCTGTAAAGATCAAATTTGGTTATCATTACCGCGTTAGCTCTTGGGATACATTCAACTTGATCTTTATCCGACTTCACATGTGATATGTAGACAAAATGACATAATTCCAAAGAAGGGAGAAGAAAAACAGGATAGTATTTTCTCATATATCAAACTAAGAAGTGAACTTTCTGGTGCTTAAGTTCATTAACGTAAAGTAAAATTTACAATGCTCCCACCAAAAAGAAGGTGAGCTTCTTGAATTGAGAGCTATTGCACCAATTATCTAATAATCGTGAGCTTCCTTATCCTCCTCCTCTGGACCTCCTTCGTCCCAAACAAGCACAAACAAATTTGAGAGTTTCACTTACCCAGGTGGGGATGACAGGAACACCAAACCTCCATTACAACAACAAACACAAAAGACCAACAGAAAAACTTAAGATTCATCTGTCACAAGATTAAATAATTACTGGGGTATGTGAATGCCTTTGATTCTTTATTTAATAGAACATGTCATGTCATCCCTTGTTGAAAACAGGGTATCGAGGTTGTTTAATTTTTATTAATGTTACAGGGGATGGTTCTGTTATGGCTTAAAACTAGCAAGGCCTCCTTGTGACCTATTTAGTGACATTTGCGAACCTCAAACAACATCCCAGCTTCTACTACTTCCAGAAGAGACCAAAGAAACTTGATCATTCTTTAAGATAGAAACCTTCCACTCCTCATGGTTGGGTTTATATGTTATACTCGGTTGCATGTAATTCGAGTTATGAAAGTATTTAAATACCCTTATTGAATAAGTTTAATTAAGGGTGTATTGGTGCTTTCGTAATCCAGACTGCACCTTTTTCACTGTCCAGACTGAGAAAAACCATTCTCTTATCTGTTACTGGGTCACAGATAGAAGGAAGCAACAAACAGACACTACCATTTGATTTGATTGAAAATGCTAAGCTCGATCATTTCGTTTTATGGTTTTTATTTCATTATTATTTTCATAATGCTGTATCATGTGGCTTATTTTCATTTTGTTTTGGATAATATTGGCAAATGGGAGAAAGTTCAAAGGAAATAATGGAGAGACATAAACGGCTGCAGTAGTTGGGAAATTTCTATTTTCTTAGACAAAATGGGGTGTCCATAGGTTTGTTCGAGTTCTCTGTGGTCTCTTTTGAAAGACACATTAAATTATCTTCCCTAGCCACAAATAAAAGTGTACAATCAGAGAAAAGGATCCGTGCCTGCTATCCAGCCTCGGATTATAGGTAATTAGAAATCTGTAACCTAAATGTTTTGCAGGTTAATTCAAACGGATGCTTGCATACAGAAATTGCAGTATGAAGATGAGGCATGGGGCATATGAGCACTTACTATGGTGAATTTGTAGGTAAGAACACCGTTTGCAAGAATCTTGGTATAGGATAATTTGTCTGGAATGTAGGAAACCGACCTTGAGCAGGGGAACCTTGCGGGTGGCTCCAGAGCTCCTATACCAAGATGGACTTGAGCACACACTAAATTTAATCTACAAATATCTAATTCTAACCAACCTGTCTTCATGTTAATTACTACATGCAAGCTTTCGAGTCAGAAAAATGCTGAAAAACTCATTTCACACCGAAGAGCGGGGTTATGGTGGAGGCTAATGGCTGCCTAGTGGAAGCTGAGGAATACAAATTATTATAATAGTAACACAGACGAAAGTAGCATAAAGGATTCAAACAAATTTTCTAGCTATCTAATTTGATGTGGTAACTAGTACATATGCGCAGAAAGAATCACCCAGGCACTAATGTCCTCTCAAGAGTGCAGCTAAAACAAATAAATTTCAAACTTCAACATATAGACAAACCCGTAACATAACAGTCACCAATGAAAAGTTGTCTTATATCAGTTACGTTAGCATGGCTCAGCTGAACTAAAAATGCAGATCATTTTCCTTTTTCCTAAACATCGAAGTAACAAACAAACAAGAAAACCAAATCTGCATCAATTTATTTCTCATTTTCAGATAACACCAGAGAATAAGTAGAAACATTAATTAAGGTAGATGAAATCAATAACACCAAAAAGAAACTCTAGAACCAACACCAGTACAAACTAAATTCATAATCAAACAATAACTCAGACTTAATTGTTTGACAATAAAATAAATTGAAGATCGTTATAACTTCAGACTAGGACTTCAGACTAGAGAAGGGAGAGTTCAATCAAAAATCATTCGTTCACTAAGTTGCATAAAGTTAACATGAGACAGAAGTCAGAAATAACCTATTTACAAGTTTGTCCTCATGATCCAATCCAAGAGAAATAAAGCAACATGCTAAAAAATAAGAAGCCACCTGAATAGATCAAATTTGGTTATGATTACCATTTTAGCTCTTGGGATACATTTTACTACTACTTGATTTTTGTCAGACTTCACGTCATACAAGACAAAATGGCATGATTCCGATATAGGGAGAAACAACGCAGGAAAATATGCCAAGTACTATACTTCTACTTAATTTCATTAACCAAAAGGAGACTTTACAATACCCCACCCAAAAAAAAAAAAAAAAACTGAGCTTGAGGACTAATACTAATTATCTAGTAATCATCCAAAACTTCTTCCTCTTCCTTTGCAGGAGCTTCCTTCTCTTCCTCCTCAGCATCTTCCTCTGAACGGACTCCCACCTAAACAAGCACAAATATATTTCAAAATTTTATTTATCCCAGTATGGCAGGCAAACAAAACACCCATTACAATAACAAAGCATAACATCAACAGATTATTTACGATTCATTCCAAAGAACAAATTAAAATGGAGGCTTACATTTTCATTTTCATTGTCCTCATTGTTAGATGCCAGTGACTTCTCATACTCTGCCTTGAGTTCAGCAGCTTTGTCAAAGTATGGCTTCTTTTCCTGAATCAAATTATAACAAATGTCAAACGCATTTGTCATTATTCAATAGTTGACCGTAATGGTTTGCAGTAAATGAAATAATAACTCACTTCATCTGACATTGATTTCCACTTCTCACCACCTTCCTTTGATACCTAAATTCATTTCAATTCATAATCAGTACCATAACAAAGCATATCTACTCACTATAAGCTTCATCATTATGGTAAAATTCAAGATTGGATCCTGAGAATATCTCACCTCTTTCCCAGCCTTTGTTTTTGAATTAGCTTCCTTTAATAATTTCCTAAATTCATCCCTAAAACACAACAAAAGTATTATCAGATTAAAGAATCAATGACACTATATTAACAAAAAGACATTAAAGATAGACACAGAAGGCATTACATGAAAACAAAGAAGGCTGTGGGGGGACGTTTCGGGGCATTGGAGTCCGTGCCCTTCTTCAATCTCTTAAGCCTCTTCGGCGTTGGTTCTGTTGTTGTTGGCTTCTTCCTATACAATTATCACCAAGTATGTCAATTACACATAAAGAGCATTCAGCATAACAAAATATGAAGGAATGTCAACATCATAACAAAAAATTTTGAGAAAGTGCAACTCACCTTTCCACAGGCTTCTTCTTAACCTCAGGGGGCTTCTCAACAATAGTAGCCTCTAAATTCCAAAAAAGGAAAAAAAAAAAATTAAAACCAACAAGCATACAAGATCCTAATTGTATTTAACACAAGAACACCAAGATACTCACTCAAATTCATCTTTATCTTAGCATCAAGACTACAACTGTGGAAATTGATAAGAGCCATTGGTACGTCCTTGTTGCACTCTTCACTGCAATTTCAACAATTTTCAAATTTCCATTAATTCAACTGCCCAGAAATCAAGCACTCTCAAAAACAGTTCAAACAATAATTTCCACATCTTCTATTAGTTCAAGTGCCAACAACAACAATTAACATGCTTATCTATGTCAAGCCTAGATCAAAACCAAAACCCAGGAATTTAAATTAGAAACAAAGACCAGATACCCTTCACTAAACACTATAATCAAGAGAGACGATTTAACTAGATAATTACACATCAAAAACGAAACCCAGAGAGAACCACTCATAAACCCACAGTCAATGGTAAAAAGAGAATCACAGGGAGAGATTGAGATACCATCTGGCGAAAGCACTGCCATCCTTGTTGCGGACGAGTGTAGTAGAAGCGGGAGAAGCTGAGGACGTGCTAGCTTCCACCCTCTTCCTGGGCTTCGGGGCATTGGACTTGGATCCGGCGGCCATCTTCTTCTTCTTCCTCCGGTAAGCAAAGCAAATTGCACAATGTGAAGGGATTTCGAGGAATGGAGGGTTTTAAGAAGGGAAGGGGAATCGAAGGAATTAAATTAATTGAAGAGGGAAAATGAAATTTGGGTTTTGGGTTTTGGCGCCACCGGAGCACGCGGTTTTTGGGTTTCCACAAATTTTCGATTTTTTCGGAGGGAGTTTTAAGTGTTCCTCGCTTTTCACGAGGATCGATGACTTGGCTTCGTCATCGACCGTCTGTTTGGGATCCTCTCAAATCCACGGTTCCAATAAAATTAAGTTGGGTTAAGTTGAGGCGTTTAGGAAGACGTGGAGTGGACTTGATTGGAGCGGGTCGGACCGGTGTATAAATAAGGAGTCCGTACAAGCCCATGGTCCATGGCGGAGGCAGTCCAACCATCCAACTAAACTCAAATCAGACTGAAGCTTATTGACCCAAACGGCCGAACTCAAGATTACATGGTTTCATCTAGGCCACGCGATGAGTTGGGTCAGGTTCAGATTGAGTTAAATTCAGATAATGAGTCATTCAAGCTGGATCGTAATTGGGTTGTGGGTTGGTAAAGGTGAATTTAAACCCAACTCAAATGAGTTACAAGTTAATTTGTGACTTTATTTTATTTTTATTTTTTATAATTATTTTTTTAATTTTATTTTATTAAAAAAAACCATAGGCATTCAAATTTAATTAGAACTTAAAAGTTTTAAACTAGTGTAATTTATTTACACTAAGTACTTTATAATCTTCCCCACAAATATTTAAATAAAGGTAAAATCATAAGTCATAACAAGAAGTTAATTTAAAACATTAAACTAAAATATTAAAATTTCTTGAAAAACAAAGTTTAAACTTTGTAATCATCATCTTAAAACATTACTTATCAAGGAGTTTAAGCTTCTCCTTAAGATCACATTGCTCTTCCAAAAACTTCTTTTGCTAAATTTAACTCTTTTGCTAAATTGTTAAATTTAGTTGGTACTTTTGCTAAATTTTTATCTCCATATCCCATCATCTCATCTTAAATATTTTAGTTATATTATCAATTAATACATGATAATTAATAATTGGATCAAACCCATATAATTTTAGAGAAGCAAAAATAAATAATGATAAACAAACATTTAAAACAAGTTTAAAACCTCACAAGCAGTGGATAGGAGGCTGGAGAGTTCAATCAAAGGGGAGAGTTTTTTTCTTAAAGAAAGCTCCTCGAGTGAAAAAAAAAAAACAAATAACCAAAAAGAAAACAAAACTTAAGTCACTTTTGGAAGAATTATGATTGCACTTAGCATGTGTGACAAACCTTTAAACCCCTAGGTCACCCTAGTGGATGAGTTGTGTCTCATGAGGGTTTTCAGTAGATTTACCCACAAAATCCCAATGCAAGAATACAAATATATGTTATACATGCAAAGAAAATTTAGGAATTAAAGTTCAATTAGATACAAAGTTTCAAATATTCAAGAGTTTTCATACACCCACTTAAAGTAAAATACTTCATGTTATTCTTTACACCACTTATCAAAAGATTTAGCTCATGAGCACTTAGTGTGTGTGTGAAATTCATAGTAAGAAGTTTTGGGTTTATACCTTCACACTTTAGCACCTATTATTATTTTTTCTTTTTTCTTTTTCTCCCCTCTTTTTTGTTTTGTTTTGTTTTTGTTTTTGTTTTTGTTTTTTTTTTTTTGTATATCGAGTTTCCTTAAGCTTTCTAAGTTACCCATGTAATAAGCTTTCTATCAATGACTCCCAAACCAGTTGGCTTTAGGGCATTAGGTGAAAAGACACCCCTAA